AAGAATTTAGTTTTTGAACACTTTTTTATTTTTATTTTATTTAAAAGAAAAGTTAAAAATTTTATTTCAAATTAAAATTATAGTTAATAATTTGAGCTTAGCGCTTCGATACAATACACTGTATGAAAGAGCCTGCCCTACCTTTTTAAAACTTTTGACTGGCATTTTTATCTGAAAGAAAGCTTTTGAATTTAAAATAAATATTCAATAAAAATATGCGATTAAGTAAAAACAACGTATTTGAGGTTATATACTACAGCTAGCCAACGAAAGGCGTTCGAAAATTTTTATACCCGAGCGCACTTGTGCACAAGGGTATTATAACTTTATTCACATAACGGTTGTTTGTAACAGGCAAAACGAATCGAGATAGATATAGACAAATGTATACATAAATGATCAGAATGAAAAGAGAAATCGATTAAGCGGTGACTGTCTGTCCGTCCGTCCGTCCGTCTGTGCACACGATAACTCGAGTAAAAATTGAGATATCTTAACGAAACTTGGTACGTGAACTTCTTTTGGGCGTGGGACAGATGGTATTGAAAATGGGCGAAATCGGATAATAACCACGCCTACCTCCCATATAACGGTAATTTTAAGAAATACGAAAACTGCGATATTTTAGTAACTACTGAAGATAATTCACTCAAAATTGATATTTGCAATGAGTTTTAGACGAAAAATAAGAATATTACAAAATTTTGGCAAATGGGCGTAGCCACGCCCACTTATGGTTACATGTGTATATCTTGGTAACCGCTACACCAATTTCTTCCAAACTTGGCACAGTTGTTGGTCCTGATACAGCATACCAACTGGCCGAAAATTTCTAAAATCGGACAATAATCACGCCCACATCCCATATAACGGTAATTTCGAGAAATACAAAATCTTCGATAAATCAGTAAATATTGAAGCTAATTTATTCAAAATTGATGATTGCAACAATTCTTTACCAAGAAATACGTTTATGACAAAATTTTGGAAAATGGGCGTAGCACCGCCCACTTGTGATCACATATATGTATCTCGCTAACCGTTCTAGCAATTTGTACCAAGCTCGGTATGGTTATTGTGCTTGCCACATAAAAGCAAACCGTTGAAAATTGTTGAAATCGGACTAAAATTGAGGCCGCTTTTCATATAACGGTAAATTTCAGATATGCTTGAAACTGCAATATTTCGAAATTTAAGGACGCTAATTTACTTAAAATGTATACACCCCGGCTTATCATGTAGCGGTAGCTTTCGGAAAGGTGGAAAACATATATTTAATACTTGCGCCGGGTATTTAATGTTCGGCTCCGCCCGAACTTAGACTTTCTTACTTGTTTAATTCTAGTCTTTTGAGAATAGGGTTGCCATATGTGCTTAAATTGATGAAGTTCTTAAAAATTTAGATCAAAGTACACATAAGGTACGTTAATCGAGAGTTATTTAAGAACAAGAACTTAATAAAAAATTGAAATTTTATGAAATATTTTGTACTAATTTTTGGTGGCCGAAAGCAAAATATACGATTGCAAGTAAACATATATTTTTTCCACACATTGTTATCGTTCAGAGATCTAGTACTATTCGAACATTTTTGTTTTTCTTTTTAATTTTGAACTAAATTTTGTATACGTTTTTTATCTCTTACGTTTGAAATATTGCTATATAAGATTTTCCTTTGACCTTAAAAAACCATTTATATTTACTAAAAATATTTTCTTTTTAATGTTTGCTGTAATTAAAAAAACAAAAAATAAAGTTTAATTTAAGAAAAGTAAATTTTAACGTTTTATTTTTCCTGTAATATACATATGTACATGCATACGAATATATACATTTTAAAATATTGTTATTTACTGTCTATATTCAATATCTAAACATATTATAGTTCCCTGCCATTTGTAAACAAATATAAAAAAACAGCATGTAATAAAAATATGCAGTTACAATGAGGAAATCAATAGACAAGTGCGTGAAACTGGCTCGACAACAAAATAAAATAAAGAAAAAACAAAAAATTTAAATACAACGTAAAAGAGGAAGTATTAGTTACAAAATAAGCAAAATTATGAATATTAAGAAACGTAAAGTTTATTACAAGTAAAACCTAAAACTAAAATAATTTAATAAAATAAAAAATATACAACTAAATCCTAGTATTTGAAAATGCAGACAATTACGAGTATATACATACTACGTCGGAATTTTTAGAATGACATTCTATAAAATATCGTTCATAAAATTTTGTTGCATGGATAAGTGCATTTAAAGCGACTTGCAGTAATTTTACTCCCACAACAAATTAAATGAAATAGCGTAAAGGTTAATAGTTGTAATATTCACTGGTTCTCTTACGTATTATTTTTTGTTGTTATTAAATTAACAAAAAAATGCTACAATTTGTCCTAAACAAAAAAACGTTCACATTATTATTGAACAAATAAATTTAATAAAAACACACAATTAAAATTTAAGTGAGATGTAAAAAATTGAGTACATATTTAAAACAAACAACTTTTCTGAAATTATGTTTTTTATTATTTTTGCTTTCAGTAAGTGCGCCAATTATGTGAAGGGCTTTAATTATTATACATAACTGCACACATACATTCACATAAATATGTACTATATACAGTAATTAAAATATAGTATAAAAAACATGAAAAAATAACATTTGCTTTTTTTTTTGTTTGGCTTTCATGCTTAAAAAATAACAGTAAGTGCGAAAAAATCCTGTTTTTAATACCACGAAGAATTAATTAAAAAATTTATTAGTTTTAATTTCAGAGTATCATTAAACATTTTTCCTTTAGAATTCCGCTATACCTTGTAACGGTTATTCCAGACCAACGACTGTGTATAGCCGCGACCTTCTAATCGAGGTTTTCAGTACTACTTTACGTACATACATATAAGAGGTAAAAATTCTGAACCTCAGGTGGCATGTACCCGTTTTGGTAGACCTGCAAAAGAGGTTTCTTTAATGTTGTCGCTTACTTTGATCATAATTTGAGCTGAAACTGCCTACAGGTCCCCTAAATTCACCATGTTTCACATTCCGAAACATGAGTCCAGTTTTTGAAATGGCATTTGATGTCGAAAGGAAAGGACTTTTTTGTTCAGCTAAATAAACAAAGCTTATAAATAACCGTCATCGCAATCATGGAAAGGCCAGGCAACTGACTGCTTGTTGCCAAAGCAACAGCAAGAAAATTGAATTAACAAGCAATCAGAAATAAACTATTTCAACACGCCATATATTTTATTGCTACAATTTAAAAATTTATCTATTACTATCAATTCAGTGGTTGGAAAATGCCACGTCTCAAGCCAACGACAAAAATCGATGTCATTGGTAATTTGGATTTGAGTCCAGAGAAGGCTGTTGGCGACTATATCGAATCAAAGCAACAGAATGCATATTTTGTGTGAGTACTATCTCTTCTAATTGTTTGCCCAATGCGTTTAATATTCTAACATATTAACCAACTAAAAGCAAACCGCCAAATTGGGATTCAGCAGGCGATTCCATTGAGTTGCTCTACATACACAATGAGCGCGAACATTCGGTCATGTTGCGTCTGCAGGATGAAATGCTGGAGAATTCTAAGAGCCAAGCAGCCAACAATGCCAGTCGCATACGCAAACTCTACAAGATACAAGCAAATTTGCGTAAACGCTTTATAGAAGTGAATAGTTTTATTAAAGATTGCGATGATAAGAAACGCGTTGCGGAGAAGAAAGTGGCCGAGGAGACAGCATTGCATGCGGAGCTGGCAGAAAATATACAAAAGTTTAAGCGCGCTATAGCGGAGCTAAATGAGTTTCGCGAAGTGCTCAAGGCCACTGTGGACGAGTTGGAGCCGTATGAGACTGTTATACAGGAAGTAGTGGAGAAGTCAGAGATATTTGATTCGGTGAAAGATTGCATGGATCGTTGTGATGCATTGAGTGCGTACTGCTTACCTGTTTCTCTATGTGGATAATAGGTATTTTTCTTTTTATTACTTAAATTTTTTGCTTTAACTGCAGTGTTGGCACAAGTAGAGATATCGCGCTTGGAGCAGGAGAAATTTCTTGAAATCGAAGAGATGCGCAAACGAATGGTAAAGGTGACCAATGAGGCAGCGCTTACCGTACTGGGTTTGAAGAACGATTTGGCTGAGCTGGAGCGTTCATATAATACAGCGCGTAGCGAATGCCTGCACTGGGAGCGTATTTTGGCGAACGCCAAAGATTGTGTGGCAGCGAATGAGCTGAATAAGGATCGGGCATTGGATGGCATACGCGATATTTATCGGATGTTACGACGCCGACAAGGTGAGTGCTGAAATGATGGTAAGATTCGAATTTGTTAAGATTATTTTATTTAAATTTGTATTTCCATTTTTAGGTCGTGATCCGGTTTACCAACGCCACGAAGTTGAAAAAGAGTTGGATTTCATCAAAGACGAGATCGAGCTGCTGAAGGAAGTGGTAAAAGAATGCAATAAGACAGTTGCTGCCAGCGCTAAACGAGGATTTGTCGAGAAGGTCGAAGGAAAATGCTAATCGTTTAAACTTTATATGAAAACATAAAAATTAGAGATTCCAAAAATACTAACACCTCAATTCATCAAAAATAAATACTTCATATAAGGCTCTTTAAATCTACTTTATTCTATGAATAAGGCCATAAACTAAAAACATATCCTATGGAAAAAAATAAAAATTTCATAAAAATATTTAAAATTTTATTAGGTACGACATCGACTTCAACTATAATAAGCAGAAAATTTATTTTCCAGTCACATGTCACTTATTGAAAGTAATATCTTTTATTATGTCTAAATCATATAAACGTTAACATTAAACGATTTAACAAAACGTATGAAAATTTATAAACACACTTCAATGTTAATACATGTTTTTCTTTAGAAAACTATACCCATTGATGTATATTAGGGTGGTCCTTGAAATACCAACATTTAAATTTTGTATAGAGCACAGCATTCTTTTGTTCTACGTACAAAATAAAGCCATCTACTAATCTTTTAAAATTGAAAAATTTAAATTTTTATTAAATTGTAAAAATTTTGACTCTGACCAGCTGTAACTCAGGGTACTGAAACTTGCTCATATAAATTCATAAATTCGCTGAGTTATAGCAGGTCAAAGTCAAAATTTTTATATTTTTTTCTTAATTTTGAAAATTTCGACGATGTCTTTGTGCGTATATATTTTAAGGACCACCGTAATGCATATATGCCATACATAAATGTTTACAGTAATGTGCATAATGACACGTATACATTCATATAAAACTTATATATAAATAAAACGAAAAAAAATTCACGTGTAGTTAATCGATCATTAGTTTTCGATACTAAATTAAATGATACTGGGTACTGCTAGCACAAACGAATAGATAGAAAGGAAATTATTGAAAAAAAAGGGGCGCTGCCTGAGCGCAAACGTATACTTGTTCGAAGGATGGAATGGGTTCAGTGTAGTTGCTGTTAGTTACGAATCGGCTCTGCCAAACTGTGGATAAAAATATACTCAAATTTAGTATAGCATAAAGGACTTTGTTGCAACAACAACAAGCTTTTATAACTAAAAATATATTATTTTTTAATTAACCAAACACTTACCGATGTATTCTTATGAAATCAGTGGCTTCAATCGACATGTCTTGCGGTGTTAGAAATACAAATTGCCGATTTGCGCGCTTTTGTCCTTCATTTTTCAGCAAAAGGGTCATATATTCGCGGTTGACCTCATCCTTTGAAAGGAAAAAATAAAATTAAAAAACCCAAATAAAAAAAAATTAAGGTTTAGTAAAACATACCGCAAAAACATCATATTCGTCCAGAAAGAAGAACGGATGATCAACGCAAGCCCACAGCGAGATAAGGAAAGCCACTGTTGTGTATGAACGCTCGCCACCGGAAAGTGCACGCGTGTTGGTTACAGCATCTTCGATGTGATTATCACGTGGCACCACAGAAATTTCCATTGTTTGCTCCTTGTGATTGACCTCAATGGAGCCGGTAAAGCGACGTTTACTCAGCACATTCTGTAGGAGGTGAGAATAACAGAAAAAAAATTGTGAAGGTATAAAAAATAAACTGCCGCGACAAGAAGCAACTACTCACATTGAATGTATACTGCAACATTGTCACCATATGACCCTTGAAACTTTTAACAAAGTACATACGCTTCGATTGTGATTGGCGCAGTTGCTCAGCAACCAACTTAAATGTCTTCAACGTGCTCCGATCAACGGTTAATGTACGCTTCGAACGCTTAATTTCCTCCTCGAGCTTCTTGGGATCCTCTTTGATCGGTGCACCTTGCCTTAATTTAACTTCACTTATTTTAATATCATCGAGTATATCATCGGGTGCACGTTCAGTATCTATACGTTCACCACGCTTGTTCGCGACTTTCAATTGATTGTCTAATTCCTTTTGTTTGCGTTTTTTATTTGCCTGCAAAAAATATTTTTTTTTTGTGTTTTCAAAGAAAGGTTTTCGATAGAAATTCAGTAACTTTCTAAGGCATTTGTTTCGAACTCACCTCTTCGGTTTGTACGCATTCATCGATGCGCCGCTTTTTATCTTCAAACTTTTGGTAATTGGTCGATAAGTTGCGCAAGCGCATTTGTAATTCATTAGATTCGTTCTGTAATTTTAAAGTGAGGAAATTAAGTTAGACGAGAAATAGAAGGGTGAAGCATGTGATTCCAAACCTAAGGGCCATTAACTTATCTATTTTAGGTAATGATTTAACGGTTGACATTCCAGCAGTATTAGAGGAAATGGGCGGTAGGATCAGTAAAACTTTAATGTGTCAAATTCCGTTAGACAGAAGTGCAGAATTCAATGCCGTAAACGTTGCTGAAACCCCAGTGAAGTTTACAACGATTTGGAAAACTGTTCACGGTTTTTGACCAAAACGCATAATGCCCGTGTACGGCGTGTTGAAGTCTTTTTCTATTGGAACTTTCCCTTCCCGATCAACAGTAGATCTTCTAAAATTTGTGAAGCCGTTCTTCTTGCCATTGAACCGAACCGAAACCCCGGTTGAAAGCAACAGAAAAAAAATAAGGTTCGATGACCAAATCCAAAGCGCAAGAACGGTTCGAGCTCTAGAACCAAACCGACCAAATTTTTCCTCCGTTTCACGTCCGTGCTAAGAATGTCTCACATTAACAAGACACAAACAAAGAAGATTCTCCATTTTTCCCCCAACAAACATTACTTTAATTTGCCTACCTCTTTTTCGCGTATTTTCGCCTGTATCTCATTCAGTTTGTCCATATGCTTCCGCAGCTCAATTTCAACGTTTTGTTTCTCATTCTCAGCTAGAGTGCACTCCCTTTTTTTCTGTTCCAATGTTTGCAAATATTTCTGCAGTTTCTCTTCATTTTCAGCAAGCTCTTTTTGCTTTGATAAAAAAAAATGCAAACAAATTATAAAACTATGTTTTTGAAACATTCGCATATGCGCCACAAAACTGCCGCCTGCTTACCAAAACACAGGATTCATTTGTGTCGGGATATTCATAATTTTCCAAATCGGCAATGCGTTGCTCCAACTGTGTGACCTCCACTGTATGCTTCTGCATTAGTGCCAGTTTCTCTTTGAGCTGTTGTATTGAGTTACGCAAATCGCGTTCTGATTCTGCAAATGAATCTTGGAATCCCAGCCGCTCATTTTCGATTCTACGATACTCTTGTTCAAGTTGCCTTAAAAAATATTGATATTAAAGAACTTGTTAAAAAAAAAAAACTATGAAGATTTTTACACACCTGATACATTCGTCCACATTTACTTGTATGAAACGTGCAGGTCGGATCTTAAACGAGTACATACGAAACCTTGGATCGGGATAATACTCTAAAGCCGGCTCTGTTGCTACAATAATTTTACGCAAATTATGCGGCACCTGCTCCTGTTGCATGGTAAAATTCTCTGCAACATGTTTGGTGTCCGTCAACAGAATTGTCTCAATACTCAGCTGATCGATTAAACAATTCATAACCACTGGGTCCCGACACTTGATGACATCGTAAAGTAAATATGTGCCTGGCGGTGGACGTACACGACCGGAACGCACATCGTGCACCTGGCGATTGAAGGAATAAATAAGACAAATAAGTAGCAATATAGATACGTTTCTAAATATCTGCTACCATACCTTATTTGAAAATTTAGCCGTTACAATTGTCACTTGCATATTCGGTAAACGTTGTCTTATAATCGAATTTAATAACACACGATCGGCTGTATTGTTCACTATGAATGCACGCAGCAAACCGCCAATTTGATTCTCAACCACATCACGATATTTCTGTTCCGGCACATCCAGATAACTGCCGATGGGACCACGCGGGCGATCGCTGAACTTACGTGCGCGGCAATGGCGCTCTATTTCATCCAAAAGTGCTTGCATCTCTTGTCCATAAATCGAATAGCGATTCTTTTTGTTCGCTTGTAAATTTGCAATATCGCGCTTAAGCTTATCTGTCGAAAGCGAGAAATAAAATGGCAATAAAAGTTAAAAATAAGTTTTGTTAGAAATATGTGCGCCACCACTCACCAATTCTGCGACCGCAATTGTCCATTTGGAGTTTAAAATTTCTACATTCTTCCTCCTTTTGCGATTTGTTCTCTACAAAAATTTCATGCTCCCGCTTAGCTGATATACTCATTGCCTTATTTTCGCGATGTGTTTTGCGTAAAGTCTCCAGTTCAGCTTCATTGCGACGCCGCAGTTCTTCAACACCCATTGATCTATTGTAATAATTTTAAAAAAGCAGAAGACATTTTTGTTTAATGAGAGTGAACAACTTTTTCGAACCGGATTGTAAATAAAAATACGCGTACTAACTTTGAACGCTGTGCGATATTTTGCTGCAAATCAACTATTATCGATTCCAAATGCGAAACACGCTTTTTATAATTCTCGACGTCATATTTCAAGCTATGACAATTGTTTGCCTTTTCTTTCAATCTCGCATTGATGCTTTGGCATTTTTCATTTTTTTCACTGTATTCTGCCCGGTTAAGATGGATTATTTCCATACAGCGGCTAAAATGGCAACATAAAAAATATAATAAAAGAATGTTGCAGTTACTGAATAAAAGGGTAGGAAAATATGCAATCTCACTCTATCTCAGTTTTGCGTTCATTTTCAATTTCATTTTTGCGCAGAGATTGCTCTTCCAATTTCTCACGTTCGCTTAGAGCCTCTACAAGCGCTTCTTCCACTTTGTTAATTTCCTGCTCCAAGTGGCTTACCAATGACCACTCGTATTCAGAACGTTTCTGATTTATTTCATGCTGTAATTATTGGAAACATTTGTTTTTGCTGTTCTCAAATATTAATTAGTGTTTAACATACTTTAAGTTGTGCAAATGATAACAATTTACGATGTTCCGACTCTAGTTCTGCGATCCTTTGTTGATCCTGCTCTAATTTCTGTAAAAAAATTAAATAAAACAGTAAGTTTTTAGCTTAACAAGTAATTTTTATGCAACAAATACAACCGACTTCAATGCTCATATAAAAATTTGGGAGTACCGTAAATTTCTTCATGGCATAATGATCGGAACTAAACCAAATTAATATCGGACCAGGAATAATCGAAAACGGTTTACGTGGTCCAAAGTTATCCGGTGACATACATTAACAAAATATTCCGATGAATTGATAACGTTCCTTCTTTATTGAAGTCGGTTAAAAATAAAAATATACACGCAAACCTTTTCTATATGTTTCAAACGTTGTTTGTGATCCTGATATTCATAATAGCACTTGTACAGCTGATCCTGTATTGAATCGAGCTGTGTGGCCTTTAAAAATAGCTGATAATTTTTCTTTGGTTCCATGCTATAAATATGTAGAAAATTAGTTTTCCATATACATACGTACATAATTATGTACTACAGAGCCCATTTCATTAATTTTAGTTCCACCCATCTTACTTACTCCTTCAAAAATTCACGCGCACTATCTTGATTCATTACAAATGCCGGGTTATCAACTTGTATATTGTGTATTTCTATGATCCGCTTCAATTCGTCAAATTTATCTGATACAACGCGTCCATGTGCATTCTTAATTTTGTAATTACTCGCTGTTTGTGTGATGTTACGCACAATTGTTATTTCATCGCCATACTCTTCAGGTCTAAAAGCCTCAGGACCCTCATTGGAGATGGTGATTTCGACGCGCGCTGTACTTTGACCGTTTCTTATTAAACCTGAGAAAACATTTTAAAAATATTAAAAGGGGAATTGGCACTTCAAAATTACTGCACAGTTGCAAATAGTTGCCAGAAGCTGTGCAGTTTCTGCGAGGAACATGTCCTTTCATGTTTAAATGGAGGTTATGTATCTTTTAGCACTTTTAAAATACAAATATATTTATGTATTCACTCACTGTGTAATGCCGTCGAGCGATTAGTGGCTCGTGCACGTCCACCCATTCCGACAACAAGTGCAGCGAGTATAGCGCTTTTGCCGCAACCATTGCGTCCAACCATAAAATTGACGCGCGGATGCATTTCGATGCGATAATGGGCATGACACATAAAATTTACCAAAACTACCTTATTGATCTTGCCACAACGAAACGTATCTAGCGCTATTTGCGAACTTGAAGCGTTTGACTATAAATTTGATAGAGATACGTAAGAATTTGAATTCCACAGCGAGGAAAAGGTAAAGCGTTTTCAACTCACTTGTCGTACTTCAATCCGCTTCTGCCTCTTTGCTTGGCTACATGTTGGTATGTTATCCTGTGCCACTGCGTTATTTGCTAGGGGATCAGCAGCAAGCTCATTTATTTTGAGTTGTTTCGCACTTGTGTGATTTCCCTGCGTAGCTGCTGTGCTAATGTTGGTACAAACAGTCGAAGCATCGCTGTTCTCTTTGGAACGCCGCTTGCGGCAGAGACTCAAACTCATCGTCCGTGTTTTCTTAAGCACTTTTTCCACTATATCCACCGGTTTAAATTATTTATTTATTTACTAAATGTGCAGAAAATTGCTTAGCAATGGAATTCCGCAAAATGCTACCCCCTTTGGCGCAAACAAAAATTTTCAAGCGTTGCCAAGTTGACAGCTGTAACATGTTAGAGATGTAATAATGAAAAAACCAAAACAATTTGAATTATCGAGTTTAAGAGCGAAATACACCACACAAGCGAGGAAATATCCCATTACTTCACATGGTGAAACCAAAGAACGTAAATGTATAAGAAGAGACAACATGTTATAATTGTAGCGAGTGTGAACATCAGGAGCGCGCCTTCTCTTTTGCCCAACTACGTTTTTAGACTGGATGAGTATAGTGTACTTTATCGGTCCTGATTACTTCAAGCTATTTGTGTATATATTTTTCATTACAATATAAACATTTTGGGTTTAATCCTTTTAACAAAAAGAAAAAAAGTCTAAAAATATGCAACCTTATGGCGACTTCCGTATCTTGCCATAAGATGAATGGGTTTCAGAAACCCACGTAACTGGCCGTCTCCACAGGATAAAGTTTACATCTCTCTCATTGTAATTCAAGAGCAATATATATCAGAGCTTATCTTGCTATCTATTGCCGATGATTTGATAGTTTGACAGTTACATTTACATTTGCATGAAAACTTTGTGGCGGCAACATTATTGAAGCCATCTTAGAAATGCCTATATCAAGATATAAAAAGCCCACACATATGTTGCCACTGATATAATGTAAATCTAGCAACCAAGATGACAGTTGGACTGCAATAAATTGTATCCTGTGGAGACGACCAGTAAGGCCATCAAAATAAGTGCAGTGGCATGTTGTGCTGCAGCCGTAGTGTATATTTTTAGGCGCAGTGCTATAAAAAGGAAACGCATGCCATAGGTTGAAAATTTACAGGGTACACCTGATGATACATTTTTTTCATTCCGTTATTCGAAAAAAATTTGTTTGATGATGGATGCGTTTCCGAACGTTCTTTTTTGCAGTTATTCGAACATTTTTTTTTGATGATGCATTTCCGAACGTTTTTTTTTGTAGCTTGCATTAATCAGGTTTTAAAATTTCAAATTAAATGGAGTTTTGAGTACAAAGTTTAGTAGCCCATTAAATTTTAGTATAATTTACAAGGTCTATTTAGGGGAAAAATAAGTTCCATCGAGAAATATACATCTAACAAATGTACGAAAATAAAACTCACTTCTGATAAAATATTGCGTTTTAGTACATCAGGTTTGCTATTAGATTGTATGACATTACATTGTTAATTTCCATGCTAAAAGATACTAGGTCTGTTCAGTACGTTGTGGAAATGGTCTGGAATTTGCAGTTGGAATAGCATTTGCTGTCATGAAAACCGTGAGCATTTGGTTGTTGTGAATTTACAAGTACAACGAATATGCAATGCAAGCGAATATGCACAAGATCCTGAACAGCCCTACTATATTTAGTATTAAAGGAAATAACTAAGTGGTTTACAAAACCTTACAAAATTTTCCGGCAGGTTCTGCAATTCACTTCCGTATCACGTTTTTTGATGATTTTGTTTAGAACTCACTTACACACATACATACAGATTATCTAATACATTCACACATTTTCTTCTACTTAATTATTATTTGTTATTAGATGTACAATCGTTTTAATTATCTTCAATCCATTTTCATGATTTAACAAATTTAGACAAGGATCACTGATTTTCTCCTCAAGCAGCTTAAGTAACTCCAAACGCAAACACTGTATCATCTCAGCTGTTTCATGCGTGTGCGCTTTCAAAATGATCCAACCCTCTTCGAGCAGGAACAGGAAGTCGCCGCTATGTAATTCAATTTTGAAATCACTGCCCGCGAACAGCACCAACGGCACCAGTGGCAGCATAGAGCATTCACGTATGAATATGCGTGAGGTTTTTACTTTCTCCTGGTAGATGAGGAAAGGTGATTGAAAAGTGCCAACAACCGAATTCACCGAAGATGGATGTATGGCGACAAAACCATCTTGTCGTGTCTTGAAGCGCAAATCCTTCGCTGAATTCATTTTGGCCATTGCACCGCCAACAGTCGAAACGTAACTGCGTTCCGGTGTCAGCACCTTTACGATGTTGGGATAGAGCGCAGCGTAGAGTAGAGATATTAGCAGGCGATTATTGTCGCCATTTACATTCAAATCTGCACCTGCATGTGTGCAAAGAATTAAGGGTTAGAACGTAGATATGCGTAAAGTTAAAACTTATTTACCAGTCAATTCGAGAATGTTGTCGGTGGCGTTCTTGCGTTTTCTCGGTATATTCATAGGCACGAAACCAATCGAAACAAGGAGTTCCAAAAATTGGTATTTGACCTCCGAAATTGTATCCAATGTTTTCAAAGAGAGAAAGTGCTCATCGGCATAGTTCCGGCTGGCGTAAAAGTTGCGCCGCGACACTTCTAGCCATTTCTGAAAGGTAAAATTGAAATTAATCTTTCTTAATAAACAAAACTGATCTCTGTGTTCACCTTATAGGCTAACAACATGGTCAAATGATCGCTATTACAAATGGCGAATTCCCTTTTCCGCTTCTCCGCTTCCGCACGCTTATTGAAAGGGCTCACAAACGGCGATTTATGACTCAAGCATGCGGCTATGGTGAGTACACTATCCAAACATTGGAAGATCGCGCCATACAACATAAGCTTGCCAATGCGCACATCTACCGGCAGCGCTGCCAGATGGTGGCCCAGCGACGTTAAATTCTGCGCTTCATCTAAAGCGCCGACATCTTGCAATCTACGCACAGCGGATAGTATATTTTCCTCGGTGGGTGGCTCGAGCGTGCGACCCAACACCTCAAGTGTATTCTTTTCGCTGAAGCAGGGCAGCGTTTTGATGCGCAGCACCAGCTGTTCCAGGGGTACGCGATGTATTTCCGGCACTGGTTGTGCTAGGAAATTGTGCCAGAAACGGTGGCCACTGAAGAGATGTATACAAACACCGGGCATGACACGACCTGCACGACCCTTGCGTTGTAATGCATTAGCGCGCGATACCCACACCAATTCCAGCGATTCCATATTACGATTGGCGTCGAAACGCTTTTCCTTCATCAAACCATAATCAACAACAAATACACAATCGTCAATGGTGAGTGAGGTTTCAGCAATATTGGTGCTAAGCACTATTTTTCGCTTGCCTTTAGGTGCGGGACGAAAGATAGCCGATTGCTCTTCGCTGGAGAGAGATGAATGGAGTGGTATGACGATATATGTGCCGCTTCTAGAATGAGAAAATGGAAATTAGTATTTCAGTTGAAACTTTTTATGAGGTATCAAAATTACCTATTCCCAAATAGCGCGCTATCAGCGAGCGCTTCATGTACTGTCTGAATTTCTTGTAGACCGGGTAGAAACACCAATATCGTGCCTTCCTTAGGCCAATTATGTTCCCCTTCTACAATGTATTTCAGCACAGACTCCACCAATTCGGGATTGATTTTCATTGGCTCCATGAGGTAGATACTCTTACACGTTTTCTTTGAATAATCTGAATAAAAGAAAGAGATTTTTGAGTTTTTTTTTAAGTTCAAGGCAATTAAATAAATAATTAAACTTTGTATTTGTTTTTTCTTTCTTAATATAATTTAAAAAACTGGCCAAAATTTTCCCTTTAACGACTCCAACTCACCACTGTATCGTCCGTACATTTGCGCCAGAGTAAGCTTATCATCTTTGATGCTCTTTGCCGGTACTGCCCCCTCGGCTTTCACGTCTGAATATTCCAACTCTCGCATTAGTTCTTCCTCTTCTTTTTTCGTGATCTTTCGACAATAATGTGAATCACATTCCATTACATAGTCACACACCTCCAGTATATCCTCGAGGAACAATTGTTCTACATGGAATGTACGCCCGGGTATGTCCAGCACAGGCGCACCACCAAAGTACTCCGAGAACAATTTCGCATTTAATGTAGCAGACATTAGTATCACTTTGAGATCAGGCCGTTCTTTCAGCAGATCCTTTAGTATCATTAGCAAAAAATCGGACTCCTCACTGCGCTCATGCACTTCGTCGACTATGACATGCGACACGCTGCTTAGCAGCGGATCAGCGGTGAGTCTTCGCAGCAATATACCAGTGGTGCAGAAGGTTAGACGCGTGGTTGATGAAATTTTGTTCTCTAGTCGTATTTGATAGCCCACGGTTTGACCGACACGTTCTGTGCGTTCATCGGCGACACGTTCGGCAACACCAATTGCTGAGAGGCGTCTTGGTTGCGTGCATACCACTTCGACGTGTGGCATTTTGTTCGAGGCGGTGAGTCTGGAAGCCTGGAATAACCAGTTATCTAGGATGAATTGAGGCACTTGTGTGGATTTGCCGCAACCAGTTTCGCCGGAGATAACAATAACCTGGAATTATAAACAAAAATTAATATTAAAGTCCAATGGTTTCGCATTTAAAAAACTCCAAACTTACTTGCGAAGTTTCTATTAGCCCCAAAATTTCCAGCATTTTTTCAAATGCAGGCAAACTGCGGCGCCCAGTCATCATTTTGCGATAACGCTCATCTTCCTGTCGCTGCAAAAAGCGTCGCATCAGCACGCGATCTTCATTCTCCGTCTGCTTAGCTGATCGTTGCTGCTCAGTGTGGGAAGTTTGACCGCGTTCATAATGTTTAGGAAGCACTACAGGCATGCCACCATTCGCGTCAGTTTCACTACTATCACTGGTGGCGAAAAGCGATTTCGCGTCCGAAGGAAATGGATAGTCGTCACCAATTGGTAATTGTACATAAGCCTCCTCGTTTAGTAGTGCCTCACTTATGCTATATACACAGCCCATGCCATCAGCGCAAATGTTGCGTGCCTCACGATATAAGCGACGCGCCACAAGTAAAAGTAAATCGCGCGGCAAGTCGTGGCAGGTTGTTTTGAGGTAGATAAATGGCGCTTCATATGGATAATTTGTATCGGGTGGGAAGCGTATTTCTAGGAAGAACCAGTTGTCCTCTTCATTCTCATCTTGGAAACCTATAAAGATTAGATAAGCTGATTAATAAAAAGGGTATAAGAATACGATTTTTTACCTTCTTTCTTTTTACGCTGCGCCTCTTCTTCATCCACTACCGGCGCTACGTGTGCAAATCGGCATTTGCCGCCGAATTTACATGTGCCATCGCGATCGAAGTTACGGCAACGCGCTTTTCCATTTACAGTTGATTTCACCTTCTGCTTGGCGGTTTTCTCTGGCACTCCGGTGCGCTTACGTCTCTCCGACGGGCTGTGTATCAACAGGTGGTCTACTTTGAATTTTAGACTCCAAACTGTATTTTTCTCTTTCTCCTCAAAAACTTCATCATAAATAGATTCCAGCGCTGATTTCTCATCATTTCGCATCTCCAGCAGTTCGCCTTTATTAATGTCATTATTTAACAACACACTATACGACTCATTCAGCTTTGTCTCTGGTATACGCATGTATTTGCGATAAAGCAACAACAATGCGGCATCCGTATCACCACCACAATGGTCGTACGCCTCGACACAATGTAAGGGAGCGAACCCATAATTCTCCAGCTTTAGCAAAGCGAAACGCCTTAATCGGTCTTCGGGTGTCTCCGTTTTTTCGCTATTGGCTGAATAGTTGGTAATGCTTTGCACAACCAACGTGCCTCGGTCTTCCCAATATGCCTTCTTCATGTGACCACCGCGATCATTATAAAACGAAGCATCATTGAGACGAAAATCTGGTCCATGTATTGCACGCAGTGTTTCCATTGTCATTTTTTGTGAAGCCTCTGAGAGACGCAACTCCTGCAGTTCAGTCTTGATCTCAACTTTGGCGGGAGCTGTTTGGACAGGAGCATTCCTTATATATATATGGAGAAAACACAGTTGAGAATGTGAAAAATATGCGTAATGCCATAAGAATGCACTCACGTCGTTCTAGGATCGGAAAGCGGGCGTAGATACCAGGTGTCGTCATGTTCAGGTTCCATTATGGTGATGGCCAATTGAGATTAAATTTAGGACACTTTGTTTCGTTTGCTGGTGAAATAACAAAAATGATAAATAAATTGGAATTTTGAGAAAAAGGAAAACATATGTGCCCTAAACGTGTCAGCAGTGAACAGCTGGCTCAACTGCTGCTGACCACGAGCGTTGCCGTATGCGCGTTTAATTTAATAAACGAACGGAAAAGGAAGCAAGAGACCGGAAGTATTAAAAAAAAACAGTTTAAATTAAATAAATTCCATAAGGGAATTTATTTCTGGTTGAAAAAGGCTAAATAGGTGGTTTAATATTAATCACCGACGTGTCCAAAGCTTGTTATAAAGTAGAGTTTGAAGCGTGAATTCCACGATAATTTGCACTGACCGGCATATATCGATTATCCCATGCAACCATGCACTTGTTTACATCTGCTAACGGTTAGCTTATGGGGGCCCTACACGGTCAAATTGTCTCGATAAATTTGCGTCTATGGGCTAGTGAGATTTTTTACGGATGTGTCACATGCACAGCGGGGTTTATGCAATTCAACATATGCGAGCGAGAAGAAAGAATTGACACAATCTTATTTGAAAATTTGTTGAAAAAAATTTCTATAAGATAACCGAATGCTAAGAAAATAAAAGGAGAAAGTGGATTTTATCAACACACATGTTGACTGGTTAAACAATTTTTTGATTTCTTACAGTTATGTTCGCCCTAAACCATGTTGTCACACATGTTGGATCGTGTAGACCCCGCTTATGAGTTTAGTAGCTGTTTAACTAAAACCAAAGATCTGTTCGATGAATGCACTAAAAGTGTAGAACAGTGCAGTGCAGAAGAACATCTCATATTAAGCCCCAGAGAACACATACGTTCAGGGCAAGAAAAAGGCTCATAGAACGCTTTTTCCTGCCCTAGAGTATTCTAGTGCCTTCATCGAACAGACCTCAAAGTAGTTTTGATTTTCATCAAAATCGATGGTCCATTACAGGACGATCAAAGGTGTGATTTGTTCAAGATGTTGGTTTTTTTTTATAAAAATCATTCGTCCGAATTCTTTTCTTGAGTTAATTTTTATATCTTTTTACAATTTGTATCTGATTATATGACAACGCAATATATGCAATGAAAAATGCACTAATTATGACTTTTTTCTAGTGATAAAACTTCAACATAAACGAAAAATTATAGTTTAAAGGGTTTTTTGACACCTGTAAATCAAACCATAAAATTACACCGACACTTAATTTGATCAAACACTTTGACAGTGTAAAGGCCCCTATTACAAGTCAGCTTTCAAGGACAAAAACTTCGCGTTCCCGCCTTGCAATTAAACAATTTTTTGCCTTGGGAAAATAACTCTTGGGCAACGTTATGAATTTTGTGGGTGCTTTGAAATATGGTTGCAAACCAGAGGTGAGCTTTTTAATAAATTTATACGCTGGCTATATACCTTTTATGTCGACTTACAGGTCGAGGCCGAGCGCTGCATGAGGCAACTGCTGTTTAGATCGAGGTCTGAAGGCGAACTTAGCTTAGAATTGACAGCGGATTTAATTAATGAATTATTCAAAGCAATTGGATTGCATACTAGCATTACAGTGCAGCAATTGCAAGCAGGAAACGGATTCGACTGGGAAGCAGCTGGTTGCCGCCACTACATGTTCCATTGCAATACGATTTTCTTTAGCGCCTTCGAGCGTTTTCTTAAGCAGCTATGTCGTACTGCGAGGGACGAACAAGAAAATGCAAGCGCAGCTGTGAATGCCGAACCGATTTGGCATTTATTGCAGCTGTTGGCCGTTTGGTGCAATTGCTACACGGATTTGTTAGAACAGGAATTGGATATACAAGTGCAGTACTTTCAAGAACCGCTTGCGCGCATAAGTATGTTCACAGTTAACTGACTTTATCTTAGTTTTTAATTTTTGTGTTATCGACAGACTATAGATTGTTCCTTGGCGTGCATGAAATTAGGAAGAAATATCCCACCCGCTTTGACCATTTAGATGAAATTTGCGCACGTTTGCTGGATAGTGCTCTGCAGGGATTATTGTAGGCTTGAATTTTGGATTTTAAACAACAAATATGTATAAAATTGTTTTCTAAAATTCGCAGCTTTAAAGAATGTCATGCAGACATTTCTGATGGCCTCCTCATTCTGGCGGAGAAGCATTTCGGTGTAAGCGAGGCTTTTGCTAATGACGCTTTCAAATTCTTTTACTATAGCTTCAGTGTGGAGGTAAAAGTCCCAAGCAAAGTTTATTTAACAGTATACAAATTTTTAATTTTTTTTTTAATACAGCAACACAAAGCAACTCATTGTAATATTTTTAAGTGCTTCACGCGAATGCTGCACAAATTTTCAACAGAGCAAGATTCAAGAGTCTACCGCACATTTTTAAGTTTTCTAATTGAAAAGGATATGCAGGACATTTTCTATACAATTTTGAAATTGGAGAAGACTAAGCGCTTACTATTGGCAGCTCTAAATTTTTTGAATGAGCTCCAGGGGTAAAAAATATAATTTAGTGAAAGCCTAATAATTTTTAAATTTGCGTTTTAGGCAACTACTTGACTTGGATTGCTTCTCGGAAATATTTCTCGAGGCTATACTTGGACTGACATTGCACGCTGATGAAAACCTTTCCTTATTGGCCGCTGAGCTCTATATAAACATGGCCCGACGCAAGGCAAACACAGATGATTTTCTTCTAAAACACATTCTTGAATATTACTTTACAGAAATGGTGAAGTGACTTTGTGTTATTTAAAGTAGTGAAATTTGTATTACTCAAGCCGATTTTTGTTTAATATTTTGTAGAACACTATTGATTTGCTGCCACACTATATCGCTGCTATATGGCCCAATTTTTCTTATATGAAGTCTTTGGACATTTATTTTGAACTGTTAAAGGATCAGAGCTTGCCGTTAGAAATGCGCTATTTCATTGCGCAATTTACAATTGTAATTTATAGCAAAATGATATCGAATATCGGTAAAATTTAAAGTTTGTTTTCACATTTTCAAGTATTTTATTAATAATGGAGCTATCCTTTCCAGAAAAATATGCACCGGAAATTATATTCGTGCTCCGAACGCTGCCAACTCTCTTCACACTGTTAGATAGTCAGTGCTTGAAAGGCATTCTACTGCAGTTATATAGTATCACCGAGCTGGAACTGCTACGTGGCAGCTATGGTGCTGTTAATGAGGTATTGGTAAAACAAAAATTAATATATAATTCGATTTGAACGGTTTTTGTACATTACCCTCCCATAGTATTTTCTTGCTTTTGAAAACTACTTCATATCGGAGTTCAAAAGTGACCTGAATTTTAAATATCCTTATCTACTAAATTTATTTATGCAATTTACACGCTTCATTGAAGAAACTAAAAATTTCGATAAAATGGAAATGTGTGGTGTTTATGCGTACACACAATTTGTGGAAATAGAACGCTCACTGCCAGCACCTGATGACAAGAAGGTATAAAATATTTAAAGAAATTTGTAAAACGGCTTAAAACTTACACATTTTACAGCAACCTCGCGTGGCGCAAGTGCGTGCCTACTACAATATTTTACAAAAGCTCTGCGTACTGCTGCAGGTGGACTACGATGTTTTGGACACCTTGGAGTCACTAGTTCGCACGCTGCATGCAAGACTTGTGGAAAAGCCACAGCTACAAGAGCTTTCCAATAAACATGAGATTTTTATTGGTAAGACAAATCCGCTGAGCACTAAACTCAATATTTTACATGTCAATTTCTCAACAATTTCAGATGTATACGCCATTGAGTTGCTGGTGAATGGCTGCATTAAACTATCACGTAGCAAAGATTTAACGAAAAGTTCAGAACAGTGGCTTGGTGTTCAGATCCACGCATTGGAAACATATTTGCTCGATGCGTTGACTTATGTGGGGGTTAAAACAATGGCGCAAATGTATCGCCTGAAAACGGTAAATGATATTAGTTAGGTACATATGTATTTACTTAGATATAAAAATATGTACTATAATTTGAGTTCAAAAGTAATTGTTTTCATTCAATTTCAGTGCTTCATTTGCCTTGTTAATTTATATTGTACTTTTCATAATACCACTGGCGTCTACAAGCTGCCACTCAATCTGCGTTCATACCACATATTGCTGCAAACTTTGTTGGCCGGCTGCTTGCAGCGTAAACCACAAACATCAGCAAGTGTGCAAAGCATAAGCGATGAGTATTTAGAACTAAATCCAAAATATGTTTTACAATATCAGAAGCTAATGTTTGAAAAATTTACAAAATTGCATTCATCGAAATATGTCGAACTACCATCGCCGGCCGCTTGGAAAATATGCTTGCATTATGGATTAGTGAGTATAATCATTGTACCTCCTGTTGATTAGTATGCATTGTTTGATTTCATATTTCGTTGCATACATTTAGGATAAGCCTAAAAATATGTAACATAAATATAAACGAAATGTATATAAATTTTAAACATTTTGCTTATATGTAGTTAAGTGTTACATATTTTTAGGTTTCGTTTTCTGCATAAACATCCGCAGTATCACTATTACTTTATCGAACTTTGTTTTTTTTTTTAATTTCTGCCACTATTTACGATAACTTAACTTTTAGAAGAAATCCACGGTTATTTTTTTTATTATCTGTGTCCTTTCAGACCTCGCATAAATTCAATGATGAATTATTTACATTCATGGAAGCTTTAACTAAGCATCATTTTAAAATATATACCCATATTTCAGCAGTTTTGGTGCTTAACCTTTATAAACAAAACCCGCCTTTCAAAATGGACGTGATAAGGGTGAGTAAAAAAACGTAAAACAAAATAACTAAAATAAAAAAATTTAATTAAATGAATTCGAATAGTATGGGCAATTCATCTAAACGCGTAAATGCCTCGTAACGATGTAAACCTCGTTGTATGGAAAATCGGTTATTTACGAGGTTACGAGGCATTCATGCATTTCCATGAATATCCATAATAAAACAGAATGAAAATACTTTTCCCAAATTAAGATCTTTGAGAAAATGTCCATTATGAATTCAGTTACTAAGTAATGCTTTTATCTAAGACACCAAATTTGGTTGCTATAACTTAACATTTAAATTTATTGCAATTTATTGCAATTTTTTTCTTTAAATCCTCAAGCCTACACTATCTTATTTATTCATTATTTTTTTTTAGTCCGTCATAAGAGCGCAAAAGTTATTCATCGACCAACTGCCGTCTGCACTTTCACCCAGCACGCTCTGTGTCAGTGTGGTTCTGCAAGTACTGCAAATATTACAACAATCGCTACAGAAACTACCTGCCACCACAGGTGGCAATCGTTTGGTGGCATTGAAGCACCTAAATCACTATACGTGGAATTTAAATGTGAACGATAGGAATGTGTTATCCGATATGTGAGTAGCTAGGGCTATTAATTGCAATTTACACAAGTCTTTGCATGCGTTAACTTAAATCCTTTTTGGACATTGATTTATGAGATTTTGAATTCAAAGTATATTGATTAGCTTTTTTTTTTGTCGCTGCCTTTTAGACGTTCGCAAGCAAACGCCTTGCAGAATCACATGCTTAATAATGCCGAACAAGTATGTTTAGATACGTATTTGAGCGCTTTGGGCGGATACAAAACAAACGCAAAGAAAAAAGCTTAAGGTGCAAATGCGTTATATCAAGACAAGTAAACAAAGGATGAAAAATGCTGCTAAGAAAACTGCACTGCAGTGAAATACTCTGGAAATTCGCTAATATGTATGTACATACATATCTTTATATGTTATTTATTTTGTATTTTTGCGGTTACCTTTGTATGTTTTTTATGAATTCAATTTATTTTATTTTTTCGTCATCAATATTTACAAACAATGAGTAATTTTTTTGTGTGCGAAATTAAAGGTGTGAATATGTAATCTTCCTATGCCGCTTATTTGCGCATGTTGCGCTTCCTTATTTTCATATGCTCAAGGTGGTTTTCTTCGCGCTTCATATTCCTAAGTAAAAAGGGCGTTTATTAGTACTTTTCCTAATAGGGCTGTGAAAGTTATCCATCAACGGATTATTGCGCACACCCTACTTTTTTCAACTAGCCGATATTTATGTCTCTGCAAATAAATACATTTCTGACTTCTTATCACGTAATGATTTGTGTACTAAGTTTGTTGTTTGTTTGTTGACTTCTTCATTTTCAATTTCTCACCTTTCTTTCTATGATAAAAATATGTCAATATAATCCACTCACGAAAAGATCTAACAAGTGCATGAATGCTTATGAATTGATGCAATAATACTAAGTAACGAAATTTCCTTGAATTTTTCTTATGTAGTTCCATTTCCAAGACGTAAAAGTCCCCTTAGTTTTTCTTTAAACTGAAAAAGCGACGACAGCTTAGAACGACTCGAACATTTTGCTGAAATACTAAAACTTCTGAAAAAATATATTTTCGAATTCGCGTGTTTTAGTTTTTCGAGTTTAATGCTTAACTTTGAATATGCATTGAAATGGCAATGCTCTTGTGGAAACACTCTTAATGAATAATTGGAAAAAATGTATATCAATTATATAAATTGGCAATCATGTTTCCTTTACACCCCTTTTACGGCTAAACTGTACTTCTAAGGTATAAACAATTATATATCATTAGTAAGGTATTTTGATGCTGATGTGCAGGCAATTTTTAAAATTTCAAATTATTTTAAAATAGAGCGAAAAAATCAATTCAAAAGTCACACCAATACCAATGCCATACATGTACATACATGGTTGGGGCGGAAATGTCCCCTAAATGTATGCTTTAATATTGATAGTGAATTAAAGAAACGTGCTAAGCAGCAGTTTAGGAATAAGATGTATGTATGTATGTACATGAATAGATTAGCCTCAAACAAGGATGAAGATAATTTTGAGTATGGAGAAGAAGAAAGGGATAAATACAGAAATTAAAATAAAAGTAAAGAAACCTAAATATAAAGACAAAGAGGAAGGAAAATTTAAATACCTAACCTAATAACAATGGTGGGGGTGAATATGTAAATGAAGAAAAGAATGGACATATTTAGATCAGGATAAAGGAAAGGATAAAGATGAAGAAGAAGATGAAGACCAAGACGAGGAAGAAGATGAAGATGAATATGAAGATAAGGATAAAGATAACTTATCTTAACTTAACCCCTTAACTTAACTTAACTCACCTCAACTCATCTCACCTCCGCTTAAAAACTTACTCCACCTGAGTTCGCTA